AAGGTTTATGTAATAGTACACGATTAACATGTTGTTATTTAAAACACATTATAAATGCTAAAATTATTAGCAGTGATTTTCAAAGAAAATATGTTTTATTCCATGACTATCATTATTAGCATTAGAAAATGATAAATTGTCAATTCCTTTCAAAAGAGCACTATTTTTAATATATTTTTGATTTGCTATGATTATAAATAAAGCTAAGTTCAAACTTTAATTTTTTTTTTGGAATTTATCTTGATTGAACCTTTTTTTAATCCAATGATTAGCTTTATATATATTGCTTTATTATCAAGAGCTAAAAATTCAAAAATGTGTGAAACTACTAATTCGACTACTGACCCCAAATGGTATTCAGATAGTATACAAGATTTGCCTAACGAATTTTCTGAAGCGAATATCATTTTCTTTTTTAAAAAATTAAACGGATCAAAAATTCAAGATTACTAAAGTGTTATTGGGAAAATTGTATGAAATAACAAACTATTAATTCAAATTAAATGTTATAGCCATAGTTTATTTTATTTGTAATTCGCAACAAACATCCCATTTTTTTGTCATCTGGTTCGGTATAAATTAGTCATTTTTATACAATTACCCATTCGGTATACAAATGTATAAAATGCGTCTGTGTTTGTATAAAGCGAGAGAAAAGTGTATATACAAATACAAATACATATATTTTCGTTCTATACACTTATAATTATACAAATACAGATCTTATTATATAAATTACAATCTATAAATAAATTTATACAAAACCGAACAATTTGTATAAAATTGGATGTATCTAGCGAATTATACAAATCAAAAACTCCATAGCAAACATAAAATTTGTTATGGAGCACAATTATGCAAACTATAGTTATAACATACAAATATGATTTTTATGTTTGCTATATGTGAAAGTTGTTCAAGGTTATTCCTATAATTCAAGATTACAATTGCCCATTGTTACCAAAAATTGAGTAGGTTCGGCTTATGTTGGGCCATAATAGTTAGGCCCAACTTTGCTCAAGCCTTGTAGCTTGTAGTCATGAGTGGATGATTTTCATAGATAAGCACAATTTTGAGAAATTGATCATTTTTCAAAATTAGAATAATGATCTGAAGTAAGAAAGTGACCTCATGGTCTGAGTTTTAAATTAAAAACTAATATTTAAATCATGGGTTTAATTTTTAAAAAGTGATCATGCTTCTAGATACAATGGTACAAGTGGCCATTTGGTGTAAATATGTGGTAATGGGGATCATATTAGCCCAAACCAACTTTAGTTAGTTAACTTAGAATGGTGAATCAAGTCAAAGCCCAAGACTTGTTAACAAATGACTACTTATAAGTCAAAAGCTTTGGGTTGCAATTACTAGATTTTAAGGCTTAATTAACATTGGGTTTCTAAATGTTAAACTTACTACCATTAATTACTTTATCTTCCAAGACATGCTAACATTTCTCATTTCGAAGTAATTCCTTGGTTATATTTTGAACATTTTTTTATCAAAGACTTTGCCTTTTCAAGGATCGTAGTTTTTCTTTTGATATCTCATGCGGTTCTAATATTCACATTGAATTCCAATTATATCAAAATTTGCACCGTGTAAAAGGAAGGCTCTCTAACAAGATTTTTTTCATATTCAAAGCTCAAATTTGAGATCTCTAATTAAAAAAGAGATAACCTTATCTACTGCATTACATCGTTCGTGCAAGTGGATTTGCATTATTCAAAACGTGTTCTTTACTCAAACAACAATTTATCCACACTTTGTACATATCATTTTTTTTACAATTAAATACTTCATTTAAAGCACACGATTCCATGGCAAAGATTCTGCTTGTAACTTTGAGTACTCAAAACGTTAATTATTGTAAAGAGTGAAGATGATAAATAAACAAAGAAAAAAAGGTGTGTTCTTTACTCAAGATACTCCCTTTGTCCTTAATTGCTTGTCTACTTTTCCTTTTATAGTTGTCCCTAATTACTTGTTCATTTTGACAAATCAAGAAAGGACAATTTTTTTTACCTATTATACCCTCAATTAAATGACTAATTACTTTGAAAATGCAAAATTTTTCATCCACTTCATAATTAATAGGGGTAAAATGATAAATTCACTATATCATTAATTGATTTTTTAATAGGTGTGTCAATTTAAAAATGGACAAGTAATTAGGGAGAGTATTATTTAGTGCAACTTGTAAGATGAAGAAATAAATAGTGTGTAAAATAGGATATAAACAAACATGAAATAAACGAGGGTGTTTTTCTAGATATTTTTATGGTCCCTCTAATTCTTCACAAGCTTATTTTCCCAACTTTCCCTTTGAATTTTCCTTCTTGATGTCCCTCCTATCATACCCATAACAATCGCCTTACATTTTCAAAACTAATTAATAAGATTAATTTATTAAATGAAACTTTAATAAATATTTTTTTAAAAGAGTGTTTAAGTAATAAGAGTCAAATAAGACTTTAAAAGGTGGTTTTGGTAAAAAAAATATATTATTTTCTTGTGGGACTAGACAGAGGCGAATCCATGATTCAAAAACAATGGGGGGACTACTAGACATGGATGCGTGTTAGTTGAAGTACCAATACTTCATCAGAAAATATTGTTAAACAAATATAAAATTGATGTGTCAGTAAATATTAATTAAACGAAAATGTAACATAGTTCAAAAGTGTGGTAAAATATTGTCAAACAAATATAAAATTAAAGATATCAATAAATATAAATCAAACAAATGTGTAACATAGTTTAGCCTATGATTTAATAATTTTTACCTTGTATACTTAAAGGTTGCTAGATGCAATTTTTATTTTGAATAAAAAAACAAAACAATGCAGTGGCTAGAATCAAACCGGGGACACATTGCTAGCGAAGGAGTGGTGCGACAAGAATTGGACCAACACGCTAGATTAACTTTTGTGTATAAGGCTACACAAATAAATATATTATCGTAATTTAGGTATATATATATAATTTTTCGAAATTGACGGGTACATGTGCACCTCTTCCTAGTCTGAGAGTAGGGACAAGGGTGGTAAAGATGTGGACTATACTCTATAGGAATTGAATGTATTGATTGAAGAAAGAGAAGACCATCAATCAATATTTATGTAAAATAAAACATGTTTCCTATTTTTTAAAGATATTTTTTAAAATACTCACCTAATCGACATGTGGACACCCTTATCAGTAACACCATATAAATAATTGAAAAGTGTTAAATAATCAGAAAATTTAGTCAAAATTTAATCAGAAAATTAAAAAACTATAATATTTTTTATTTTAAAATAAACTACTGTTTTTTTTCATTTTTTAGTTAAAAAATATTAAAGTTAAAAGGATAAAAAATATTTTAAAAAATAAAATACATAAATAAAATATCATTCTGGTCAAAAAGATTTTTCCTAAATAATTTTTGGTGATTATATGTAACGCCAAACAAGTTTGAAAAAATTGACCAGAGGTGGCTCCATTGAGTACAATTCTCTACGTCTACTCTATTTTTTCCTTTTCTTCCTTCAACTATCAATTTTAATAAAAATCTCTACCCGTGGAAGCAAGCTAATCCCCTAGGTTGGAAAGTTGGGGAAGAGGACATTTTCATCGCAAAAGATTCAATCCAGTCACAAATTCTAATTTTTGGGACAAATTAATATAGTAATATTTAATTCCTCACATAAACAATAATAACAGAGAAACAATCTCTATTTTTTACTTCCACCCGTCTTCTTTTAGTTGTTATAATTTCCTTTTTAGAGTCAGACGATAAGAACTGGGACTGACATTTTACGATGTATTTTTTATTATATTGATATGCAAAAAATTGCAGTTTATAATACTTTTCGTATAGTTTTTGAATATCTAAATTTTTAATTTAAAATATCAAATTAATGTAATCTAATTTAACCTTGAAAATAAATGAAAATTGATTTTCGAGAAGCGACATAACAACTAAAAGGGATGGAGGGAGTATTATATTTTGCTTTACTATATCAATGTTTTTTTTTATGAATTAAACGGAATAACATAAAAATAACTTAATAAAAAGGATAAATTAAATCTCCCATTTTGTTAAATATTGTCATTTGTTATAATTTTCTTGGTTTCTAAATAGATCCCATGTTTTTAAGCAATCTCTTGTCTGGACTCTAGGGTATTGTAGAATAGAAATATCAAATATATATAACTAACAGTCAGTAACTGAATATTAAAAAGAAGGCAATTCTAACTTCTCCTAGGCTCTTGGAGATTTTGCTCATAATTATTATCTTAGAAAGCTGATTAAAGGTAAGTTAGCTTTCAACTTTTCTTTCTAGTTTGTTAAGGAATTGTGAAATTTTGGTCTTTTGGGTTATTAATTTATTGGTTTACTATGATTGCTTATATTTGGGAGTTTGAGTTGAAGAATTTTCAAGTAAGCTAAAGAAGGATATCCAGTCAGTATTTCATGAGTTAATTAGTAGAAAAAGAGAATTAAGCAATATTTGCTCAGTTTTTTGGTTTTCCAGATAAGGCTGATCTGTTCTTTCAAAGTCAGATTTGGAACCTGAGTTATTGGGCTCTGTTGCTCATCTAAAAGATTAATATGTCAAGCACGTGGAAATTCTTTTTAATTTGAGTAGTGTGAGATTCAATCTTATGACCTCTGTCTGCTCTGATACTATGTTGAAGTGTGTTGATCATCTAATCTAAAAACTTAAGCCGTTAGATAGAACGCACTTTTATTAGTTAATGATATTCTCAACACCAAACCCATACCCTCAATAAATGTGTTTAGATCATGATAAATGGTAGAATTTTTTTTGTTGTAAAAGAATCTGATCTTAGTTGATTTATCTTAATAGCCAGATTGATTGAGCTCTATGAAGTAATAATCAGATGTAAAGAAGTATATTACTATCTTTTGCTTGAGTTGATTGCATTACTTTCCTGTGTTTTATTAGTATCTGATAACAACCTAAATGCTTTGTTTTCAATGTATTCTTGATTTCAGGTATTCATTTTAGAAAGCTGACTCTAGAATGGAAATTTGTTCTTTCTATTCGACACCCTATTACTGCATTGTAAATGTTAAACCGAATGTGATTCAAAAATGCCTAATTTCAAATCAGGCAATGTTTCCTAGACTAAAAGAACGAAGGTTGTGTTCTGGTTCAGATGTTTATAGCGTAACGAAAAACAAGAACCGGAGATCTTGCACTGTCGCTTCTGTAAAGGGGGTTGACAGTGTTGACTCAACTCTCTTGAGTGAAAGCTATAGCTCAGATGTGGTAGATGGGAAAGTCGGTACGCAAGGTGTGACTAGTAGAGGTATATCAGTACCAAAGGTTATGATTCCTAGTTTACCAAGTGAAGCTAAAGGTGATGCTGTTGCTGTGATTGATAGCTGTTTGTGGGAATGGAAGCCAAAACTGAATGTTCATTATGAGAAATCTGGATGTCAAAATGTTAACTCCGCGCCAATACTTTTTCTTCCTGGTTTTGGTGTTGGTTCCTTTCACTATGAAAAGCAGCTGAAGGATCTTGGTCGTGATAACAGAATATGGGCATTAGATTTTATTGGACAGGGGAAGTCATTACCTTGTGAGGATCCAACATCACGGTCTAAAAGAGTAGATGAATCGGAAGGTGATGGAAACAATGTTCTCTGGGGTTTGGGGGATGAAGCAGAACCTTGGGCAAAAGAGCTTGTTTATTCTGTTGATTTATGGAGGGAGCAAGTACGCTATTTCATCGAAGAGGTACAGTTTCTATCTTTGTCCTTGTATTCTTTTCTCAAAGTGGTTGATCTGCAGATTAAGCATTGTCATTGATGTATTGCTAGCTTTTTAAATTCATGTTCATTCAATACTCTGGCTCATAACAAAGGCTAGAAGATGAAACTATAAATATTCATAGAAGGCTTATGAGCACGTTACAGGTGCAGTCGATGACATTTGCTATAGTATGTCAGACTACTGTTCCTTAGCACTACTTGTTTATAACTATTAGGTTATGGAACGATGGGTTTCTCAAGAAGTTTCCAAATTATTGATAGGTTACAACTTACAAGGAACAAATTATAAACTTGTATCCTTTGGTGATGCAGGTTATTAAAGAACCAGTCTACATTGTGGGAAATTCACTTGGTGGATATGTTGCCCTCTACTTTGCAGCATACTACCCTCAATTGGTGAAAGGTGTAACCTTGCTGAATGCGACGCCTTTTTGGGGATTTCTTCCTAATCCTGTTAGATCTCCAAGATTATCTAGATTGTTTCCATGGGCTGGTACTTTTCCTCTGCCCTCTAATATCAGAAAGCTTACAGAACTTGTGTAAGTGCCATGACTTACCCTTTTGATTCTGTAGTTTTCTGATCCTATAAACTTATATACCGAGTAATAGGATCTTCTTGCCAGCAATACAGTTTATAATGATTAGCATCTAGACCATGACCAAATGATGTGTTGTTATATTGCAAACTCACGCTGAAAAAATGCATCGTTCTTGGATAATTTGATGTTCTTTCATCATATTAATAGAGGAACATTATGGCTTGTTTCCTTGTTTTGGGTTTTGGCTGGTTCTCAAACTTATCCGTCTATACGCTCATTATGCTTTGTAGATGGCAGAAAATAAGTGCTCCTGAGAGTATCGCAGAGGTGCTTAAACAAGTTTATGCTGATCATACCACAAAAGTGGATAAGGTTTTCTCTAGTATTCTTGAGGTAACAGAACACCCTGCAGCAGCTGCATCCCTTGCCTCAATAATGTTCGCTCCTCAGGGACAACTAAATTTCAAAGAGGCACTGACTGGGTAGGTAAAGCAAGTAGTATCACATAGCCGTATCATTTGGCTTGCATATGTTTTCTTATACTGTAGCAAAGCTGAAATCTTCCACTTTGCTATATTTAGGTGTCGAATGAACAATGTACCGGTCTGTCTCATTTACGGGAAAGAAGACCCCTGGGTGACGCCTATTTGGGGTTTACAAGTGAAACGCCAAGTCCCTGAAGCTCCATATTATCAGATTAGTCCAGCTGGTCACTGCCCCCATGATGAAGTCCCAGAGGTACGCCCGTCTTACTTAGCTCTACATCTGCTTTTGACATTCAATCTTGTCTGTCAATGTGCTTTCTCATTGTTACCATCTCTTCACTTCCTGTTCAAACTATGTATGTATATGCAAAAAAGTTTAAACATGATATAAGATTATGATCATTCTATGCCACACGCACTGACTCTAGATTTTGGTTTCACCTCTGAATATAAACGTGCAGATTGTGAATTTTTTGCTGCGCGGATGGATCAAGAACGTTGAATCGGATAGTTCAGTTGCATTGCCTCTGCTAGATTATCCAGAAAGCATTGAATACGACGTTGTCAAAGAATTGGAATTTGTTCGGCAAGGAGTGAAAAAATCAGCAAAAGTGCAATTTTATGGATCAATGACTTCTCAATGGGAGAGGCTTGGCATGTTTTTAAAATCTAGATTCCAAAATGGAGTTTACTCTCCATAATTGCACATATCTTTTTTTTTCATTTCTTTGTATCCACATATTGTGTGATCAATGTCCATCCATGCCTTCATGTTCGTGTGTTACATAACAATTTATGTAAATTGTAATTAGGTCAACATATATTGAGTGTAAAAAAGAAAATCTTGTTTATCATTGACGAAAATGTCAATACCATGAACAATCCTTGTTTGTTAGAAATCATTAAAATGATCAAATAAGAATTACTATGACAACAATCAAATTAACTTAATCCTTTTCCTAGCATATTCTTTTAATCTTATTGTTCATTTTTACGTAGATCTACAATATTTTCACCATAGCTTTTACTCTAGTACGTGTCCAACGTGCCTTTTTGATTAACATTTTTCTTAAGTTCGAGAGTTTATCAAAAACAGCCTCTCTACCCTATACAAGCTAGAGATAAGGTTAACCTTCACCCTATCCTCTACGAACCCCACTTGTGATCTAACTAAATATGTTTTTGTTGTTACTTATTTTAATATGTTTATATTAAACTACGTTAGATCAACTTGAACATTTGATATCAATGTAATCACGTCAGTTGGTACACACCTCAACTATACCATCAAATATCCTACCCAACTCACACATGAAAAAGCCAAGTTAGTCCCTATCCCTCCAAAATAGGGAGCAAATGCGCTCATACCAAGTGTCATAAATGAAGGTCAAACCTTAATTGTCCAAGTTATTGTTACATGCCTCAATCACTGGTTTGTTAGTCTTCTTTCAACTATTCTACATGAATACGCCAACTCTGATCCAACACGATGGCCTAACAATTACCACTAATTTCTAGTTACCAAAATATTGGAAGTTCAGTTCATTACCACACAATTTCGAACTAGTTAAAACACACGTCTTAGGAGACAATTAGTGCACCATTTTCAACTAATTGATCCAATTGGAGCAATGGATAAAGAAAACTTCACAAAGTCGTTATCATCTGGGGTGCCAAAATTGTTATCATTTCGTCTTACATCAAAATTCATAATTGATAGAAAGTAAATTTTATAATATTGAACTGATTATATACTTGGTGGTAATGGTAAAAGAAATTATTAAATGAGTGAAATTTTATACTTAATAACGAAAATATAAGAAGTATCAAAATTATAACATTCAAATACTTTACATGAATGAGAAGTTTAAGCAATTCATATGCAACAATTTAATAACATTCCAAAATAGAGTATACATATATTAGGGGTGCAGAAGTACTTAATTTGAATATCATATTACTAACAGCTTACAATTAAAAAAAAAATATGTATGTCAATTTGATTAAAGAAACATAAAACTAACATTTAAAATGCATTTTTGTAACTTGTGGAAAGATGATATTATGGTTCAAAATAGAGTATCACATAAATTAGAACATAGAACAACTTTACTACAGCAAAACGACACCTACTAGCTAGTTTTCCAATAATCGAGATCGACCAGCGAAACTATTGCCTAATGCCATGTAATGGCATTTACCTAAGCAAATCAAAATACACAATAGAGACTTATACTGTCAAGAGCAACAAAATTCTTGAGCCAGGCCTCTGCCATCTAACAGGAAAAAACTCCAAAAGGAAAAATTGTAAGAAAAAGAAGAATCCACAACCCATGCAAAAGAAAACACTATCAGCAGAAAGGAATATGAGAAAGATGGAGAATAAAGATTAATCCTCGTCCATCCCTGCAGGTTGTTCTCTCCTGCCTGGACCTCCCGCTGGTTTTGACATTATAATCTGCAGCAAAAAATAGACGTTTAAAAATTTTAAAAAAAAACTAGAGGAGGTAAGAAGCCTACTCAAAATTAAAAACACAACTGAATAAAAACTAGATTGGCAAACAAAAGAGCACAAGTAGTCGAATATGAGCATAGATCAGCTTCAAATAGGCCCTCCTTATCCCTCTCCTTTCATCGACTATTGAACTTTAATCTAACTATCATTTTTTTTAAAAAAATGGATTGCATAAGTTATTAATCTAACTATGATTTAGTCTTTCTTCCATGCATCTCTATCAAGAGAGTTGACATCTTCACAAGGTGGTAGAAAAACTATGCACTTCTCAGGATTGAAACATGAATAGAATCGCAAATCTAGAGTAAATTATTACCTGGTCTACCCGAAGCACAGTGCAGACAGCATCAGCAGCATATTTTAGAGCAAAAAATCTGCTCAAAAGGGCCAAGATGTGTTGGGGAACAATGATTAGCATAAATAGCTAACAAAACCACAAAAAAGATACTTACTCAGGATACAAAATTCATGATCATTATTCATTAAATAATACAATACTCCATTTGTTTCAATTTGTTTGCTTGATTTTGACTTGGCACAAAGTTTCACGGAGTTCAAGAAAGTAAAAAAGACTATTGAATCTTGTGGTCTTAAATTAAAAATATGTGGGATGTACCAATATGCCTTTTAATCTTGTGGGTCTTAATCATGCCATGTTTTGCACACATCTTCCATATGGCCTGGTTGCCTCCACCAACTAAGGAATTGCCTATTGAAACTAAACCAATGATCTGGGTACTCCCAAGTCTATATAAGACACGGAATGAAGAGGCCCTGAAGCATGCTGAAAAGCCATAGGGCGCATAAACACTAGCTTGTCAATGCAAATTTATGTCTTGTTTCTTCATTATTTAAAAGAAAGTTTTTGTTTTACCCTAGGATCCAAATCAGTTGGTACCGGATAAAAAATCTAACAGAATTTAACAAGTAACAAGAATAATATAGAATATAATTAAATAACTTTCTTTGACAACTGGTAAGTAGTATTCCTTCATCATTGAGAAAATGCCAGCCACCATCAAAAAAGGTTACATCCATGTTCCAACAAAAATTTACAATCTTCCTATCATGTCTATGATTTGATCTACATCTTCTATACATAATTGTTTACACTAAAAAACGTGATACCAGAATATCTAACCCGTCTATTAAGAGAAAAAACCTTGGCTTATCCTTGTGTCCTATCTAAAAGCTCCATACGTCCTTTTTATTCATTTGTAGTTCACCACTAGTACGATTTAGGTATCCCGTAATTTCTTTTTCTCGGGTGTGTATTAATATTTGTTGCTAAACTTGTTTTGTACATTGTTGTTTTGTTGTCTCTTTCTTATTTTCCTGCAGCAGTTACATTTCTTTGAGCTGAGAGTTTATTGGAAACAACTTATCTACCCCCGCAAAGGTAAGGTTTGTGTACATACTTCCCTCCCCAGACCTCACTTGTGGGAGTACACTAGGCATGTTGTTCTTGTTGCTACTATAGAATCCATCTGCTGACAAACCAAATTCCAATCTGATCAACGTTACTTTATGTCGAATCATCCTTGGTTTTCACAATTGTAATCAGAAATGAGTGGTTGCACACAAGAATCCCTAGGGATTGCTCATAATTGACAAAAGAGTCTCTCTAGAAACTAGCCATATACTTAACTTACCTATTAACAACAATATGTACGAGTGTACGCACATTAACATTCACAATATGCCATTCTAGATGAGAACAGGCTCAGTTAGCTTGTAAATTCACTCCCTCTCATTGCATCAGGAAAAAATGAATCAATTGAACGCTACTCCAGTCTACTGGATCAACTATAGACATGCTAGTGAAAATTTGTTCATATAGATCACTTTCAAAACTTCTTACTGAAAGAAGAAAACAGACACCATGAAAAGAGCAGCTTACTTGGTAACATAGAGGTCCCATATACTCAAGCCAGAGATATCCTCACAGGCACCTTTCTCCAAGTTAAGGCCCACTTTGACATTTCCAGATGCGTGTTCAGCATACAAGGATGATATGATCTCCATCGCATTGAGGCCAGCATTCTCAGCTAGCGTTTTAGGAACCATTTCAAAACTTTCAGCAAATTTTGCTATTGCATATTGATCCAACCTGAAAATAACAACTTGAGTTATACAACAGAAAAGTTGACCTGCAGTAAGAAGCAAGCGATCATCTGCGAAGAAAAAACAACAAAAACAATACCCCATCTCTTTGAAAGAGAATTCTTTCAGCTTTCTGGCCAGCTCAATTTCAGTAGCTGCAGCTCCAGGTACGATCCGACTGTCCCTGCACATTGCCTGGAACAAACATAGCGAAACCAAAGTCAAATTTCAAGACTAGAAGCAGACAGAGTCATTGCTATCCATCATCTCTCAATGTCTCAATTTATAGTAATCAAAATTTCATAATGTAATTCTGAACTCTAATCTATGTCCAAACAATACCTTACAATGAACGGACAAGTAAGCACAACAGACTATTACACATGCGCGAATCTGCAGAGAAAAGAGCTAGAAGGTACAAATACTATGTTCTTTACTATTTACCTTGTAGGTATTTACACCATCATCAACGGCTCTTTCAAGGTCATCCAAGATACTATCAGTGCTTCCCCGCAAAACAACAGTGGAGACAGAATTTCCACCGTCTTCATTTCTCACAACTGTAACCTGTCACATATTTAAGTAATCAAATATACTGAAAATACCAGCTAAACTAAACGAGCCTGGATATAAATAAAAATCTAAGAATATTACCCTGACACCACCAATTTCCTCCACTGAAACAGAATCAACATGGCCAAGGTCATCTGGATTTGGCTGGCTAAGCTTTAACTGTTTTTATAATCAAAGAAGACTGCTATAAGAAATTTAAGTATTATCTTTTAACATATATTATCAAACAGCGCTAGTATGCTTACAAGTGCAACAGCCCCAGTAGTACGGCAAAAACGGCGGAGTTCAAACTTGGAGCTGATTTTCAATACCATAAGTCTGCAAACACAAAAAATAAATCAATATGAAGCAGTTCCAAATTACACCAGGGTAGATGTAAACACATTAACAAGTCTAAGAAACAGAAATTAAAATACATTTTCATAAGAGGTCACTTAAAAGCTTGAATGCTCTAATATGTGTAAAGCAAAGACTACCTGTGATGCAAAAAGAGATCCTTTTCTTCAACAGGCAATGGATTTATTTTTTGGGGGGTATCACTATGTAAAAAGGAAATAGTATTA